CCATCGAAGAACCATGATCGAAAATGTCATTCCAAGAAGCAATGGATGATTGGCCGTAATTACTAGAGTGAATATGTTCATCACTCTGTACATTAGAATCATCTTCTTGCTCCATTGAGGGGGTGTTATGAACATTTGTGATAGTTGAGGGGCTACTTGGTAAATTGTTGGTGTTCGAGTCCTTAAAGTTATGTAGAAAAAAACTTAGAGCCCCAGAGTCCGAAAACATGTGTGTGTTTTTGTTCATATTTTGGCACGTGTGATGCCCATAATATGTAATATGAAACATTTGTGATCCATCTTCCAATTTTTGAACTTGTCTTAACGCTTTGCACCCCTCGTTTTTGTGTGTACATCTAAAATAGCACCTGCATAAAAAGGTTTTCATATAAGGACAAAATAGATAAAATTTTAATTGATTTTAGAGCATCTCAACTCTCAAGTGTAGCTTTTTTTTATAGGCTTTATTATTTGAATAAATTTTTGTATAGTTTGTCATCGGTGGAGAAGAAAGTTTTTTTTAGACGTTTATTTAAGAGATCTATTAATTTTACTTAATTATTTTATTGTTGTTTGTATAGGTTATTTATTTATAATCGATTAAATATATATACGTTTTCAATTTTCAATAAGTTCTTGATCAAAAGCTTACTCAAAAAAAAAAAAATTTGTTTTCTTTAAATATAAACGTTATATTTACTTTTAAAAGTAATCCGAATTATACACAAGAGTCCAAGACTACCTTTCGGATTCAAGTCAGACACATAAATATACATGATGCACAACTGTCTGATGGGCCAGGTTGTCCTTTTATTAGTTTCTTTTAACAATTACTATAAGACAAAAACATAAGTAAATATTATTTAATGTCATTTTTTTTTTTAGAAAAACAATCATTTATTCAATTATAAATTTCTAAGCTTTTAGAAGTAAATATATAAATTAAGTTTTAAAAATAAAATTAACACAATGAAAATTATGATATTCAGATTTTTAGAAATATGAACACAAATTCCCTCAAAGTTCCCTCAAAGTTTCACTATCATTTCTTATTTTTCTTGGGTTTTAGAATATAATTAAAAATAAATTATGTAATGTAATAAATATAAATGAGTGGGACCTTGGAAATTTAGCATTGAGAATCTCTTTCTGTCCATATTTCCTCCATGCATAACCATCTTCAATCGTGTCAACAATTTTAACTCTTGAATCTTCGGTTTTTCTGCAATTTCATAATCAAATCTTTCAAAAGTTGTACCTCATGCAACCACGTATGTACGTTTGTGCACTACAACTTGTACACTTCTTCCAAATATCCGATAAAATTGTTCATCGAGTGAAATATTATTGTTTAATTACTCACGTCTCATTTAAAATAAATAGATTTTGCATCTACTATCCTTTTATTAAAACCTCAAAAAGGTTGTAGCAATTTGTATGATAAAAAAGTTAAAATATATAATATATTAATAAAAGAATTTACGTATAAGTGTAAACACACGTTTTGCATAAAATATGTACAACTAAATGAATTAAAAATGTGGGATTAATTCCATAAACTAATTTATGTTAAAATTCAGAAAATCGGTGGTAAAAGAAACTATATAGTATATACCGTCTCTTGTAACATCCTCGCCGGTCCTTCACAGCCGGCGCCGGCTTCTTCTCACTTTCGCCTGAGTCGCACGTACGGTCGCCGGAACAAGCGGAGCCGACGTACATACTCACCGGAACCGGACATAACACGGCGGATCCACAAGAACTCAACACCGAAAGGCTGTCGGAGAAAGATCCCAGTATTTTCATCACAAGATCATCAGCTGAAACCGATCCATCATCGTCGTCAACTTTCCGGCGAAGCAGATTCTGAAGCTTTTTGGTTGAATCTCTGCCTTTAATCAGCTCTGCGATCAATCTTTTCTTGTTGGGTGATGATGTTTCCTCCATTTGAGATGAAGATTGAGCTACAGATGTGAATTATTGGTGCTTAAAGATGAAGGATTTTATGAGTTCTTGATTCCAATTTCCACACAGTTAAAGTCGGTGTGTGAGTGAGTAAGTATTATAGTTGGGTTAGGATGTGGATGTGTGTGATAAAGGAAGGTGAGGAGAAACAGCTTCATAATTTCTGAGAAATTTCAAAGGTAAAAAAAAGGAAACAAGGGAATTCGAGGGTGACGTCATCGGCTGTGACGTCATCTTCCATGCTTATCATGAGACACTACTCTACTTGAGGTAATGTTTTCTTAACTCTATTTTTAATGAAATAGAACAAACCCATCGTGGCGTCTGGTCGTTTAATTGAGAGGAAACATTTTTTTGTTCAATTTCTTATATATAACTACTTATGATATAAGGGAGCTGATTATTCCATAGAAAATTTTAATGTTTTAAAACCCGGGTTTTTGGTTGACCCGGTGTGACGACCAGTTCACGGTTAAACTGGTTCAACCACCGGATCCACCCGGTTTATGGTTTTTTTCTATTTTTTATATATTTTTATTTTCCTGCATAATACATTAACATATAAAACCAATAATTTGATGTCCACAAAGTTTAAATATTAAAAAACATTAAAGAAACCGCAAAGGACTCGTTGTTTTGGTGTTCACTACGTGTATCAAACTATCCAAACCCTATTAAAACGGGTCAACCCGGTTTTAACCGGTTCAACATAAGCGGTCGAACCGCGGTTCAGGGGAAGCCCGACCGATTCGATTCGGTCCGTATTTTTACAAAAAACCGTTCACAATTAACTCGCCTTCTACCCCGGATCACGGTCCAACCGGTTGAACCGGCCGAGTCAACCCGGGTTTTAAAACATTGGAAAATTTTGATTTTTCCACTTAAATTAATAATGGAATGACAACTATGGCATATTATATATATATATATATATATATATATATATATATATATATATATATATATATATATATATATATATATATATATATATATGGTGAATTTTAAATCCTTTTCGTTGTTAGTTTGCTCATCTTTTATTGCTAATACAATCATTTTTCTTTTTTTATTTTCTCAATAGGTGTGAGACCCATGTATTACATGAGTTTATTTAACAAAAATTAAATATAAAATTTTAACAATTTGAGAAGTTTGAATTTATAAGAAAAATGAGAAAAAAATTTAAATTATTAAAATTAATGAGACTTTAATACATTAAATACATTAGATATATAAATATTTTCTAATAAATACCTTACATATTAAATGTGGAATTTTAATTTAATAAAATGAAAAATACAATAAAATGACAAGTGGCAAATAAAAAATTCAAAAATTTTAGAAAATATCATGTGTCCAAATGAATGAGAAGATGACATGTAGCAAAAAAACCTTCATTTATTAAGGAGGATAATAAACCCGTCATCCAAAATTTTCATTTTTTATAAAATAACACAAACAAAAATATGAGGATTGACAAAATTAATGGGCAAGTAAAAATGTGTTGTAATCTTCAAATTTTACTCATTATGAAGATAAAAAAACAACGTATAAACTTTTTCTATCTTGTCGTTCTTTATACTTATTACCTATACGGCTATACCTAGGGGTGTGACAAAAAACCAAAACCGAATAATTGAAACAAACCAAATGATGTTTGGTTTATTTGGTTCGGGTTATTTGGTTATTCGGTTAATTCGGTTTGGTTAACCGAATAAGGATACCTTATTTGGTTTGATTTTTGTTAAATTTTCATAATTTTGGTTAAACCAAAATAATCGAATAAACTATTTAATTGTTATATATTTTTATAGTTTATATATAAATTAACATTTATATTTAAATTGATAGATGGTTACTAAAACTTATTTTCATAATTCATTATTTAGTTATTAGCCATTATAAATTTATAATTGTTTACATATTGTATTAAAGAGCAGTAGCTAAATAGCCAAATGTCAATTAATCTTCGGTCATTTATTTCCTCTTCATATATGTTTAAAGCTATATTAACGCATCTATAACTTGTATGGTTACATCGATACCTTAAGACAACATATCATAAAAGATTAAATATAATATGTTGTGTATTAGTGCTTTTTATTCATTTGGTAAAACTTAAGTAAGTTTTTTTTTTTTTTTTTACATACAAAATTTTATTTGGTTTAACCGGTAAACCGAACCAAATAAACCGTAACCGAATTAACCAAAACCGATTAAACTAAACCTTATCTGATTTGATTATGGTTAGTTTTAAGATGTAAAAAACTTAATAAAACCAAACCATATAAACCGAAAACCAAAAAACCGACCAACTAACACCCCTAACTATACGTCTTTTATGTTAATTCCAAATTACATGGTGTATGGGTAAAACCATATGCAATTATAACTATATCAAATTATGCTTATGTTGTACCTACTAAGATGAAACTATATTAGTTAGGAACCATGAAAATATTCAAGGTGTAGCATATGTGATTTTGGCCATAGCATGCTTCGAAAATTTTTACCTAACGCAAAATTTAAGGAATAGCACTGGCCTGGAACCCATTTAGTTCCGACCGTGAAATATATAGTTATTGTAAATAGAATAATTAATTTTACCGCATGAGACCCTTCAATATTTGAGTTTGTGAAATCATCACAAATACCAAAAACTTTAGGGTGCGTTTAGTTGCGGAAAATGAAATGTTCTTCGGAAATTTTTTTCAAGAAAAATAAGAAATTTGAAAACGCGTTTAGTTCGTCTATTTTTCTAAAATTTTCACGGTTTCTAAAATTACAAAAAAATTGGAAAATTTTGAAATACCAGTAATTATTGTTTTTCATATTTTTCTATTTCTAGATTTTTTCTAAAATATAAACACACATACTCTCACCCCACCCACCTCTATCTACCCTCACCTTAATACCCCACAACCCACCCACCTCTACCTACCCAAGTTCTTGGCCCATGGCCCAATCGACATGAATTATTGGTGCTCCACTGCTACAACCCAAGTTCTTGGCCCATGGCCCAATTGTTGTGATTCATGTGCGTCCAGATCAAGTGTGTATCACTCACTTCTCACATATCGATCTCAATTCCTTCCATTCGTCGCCTCCATGTCTCCTTAGCAGCTCCTCTCAACGACAACAACTCCCCTCTCCGACAAAACATCCCATTTTTTGCGTCTGTGTTTCTGTGCTCGTTATTGCAAAAAAACTTAGGTAAATTTAATTCTATTTGTAGCTTAATCGATGTATTTGATGGTTATGATTTCACATTTTGTTGGTGTTGACAAGAATCAATTCTTACATATCGATCTCAGATTCTTTCCCATCATCACCTCCATGTCTCCGTAGCAGCTACTCTCAACGACAACAACTCCCATCTCCGACAATCATCCCCTTTCTCGTCCTTTTCTCTGCATCTTTGAGCTCATTCTTGCCAAAAAAACCCAGGTAATAATCAATGCATCCAATCATTCTATTTGATGGTTTTCTTTCACTTTTTATTGGTGGTGACGAAATCAGTTGATTCTTGCCCTAGTTTTAGTTTATGGATTGATTTCTTGATATCATATAAAACCTCGATCTAAATTATGGATATCTATGCCAATTTGAGTATAATACATTTTAAACTTATCCCTCAATACTGCTTTAATTTCATGTCTGTATATGTAGATATTAATGCAAGTGTGTATCTCTTTGTGTGTAAATTTGTCTATGTATGTAGCATTCTCCTAATTTATCTCTAAAATAAATGGCCTATACTACAACTCTGTTTTTTGATTTGATCCCTTATATTACTCTACATATTCCTAGATACAATTTTAGTATAACCTCTATTCATTTTATAGCATGAGTTAATTATGCATTGTAATCACAAAACTCCTAATTAGTTTGGTTACTCTGTTAGATTTAAAATCGTTTTAGTGTGTTTAGTTTTAAATAAATTTGGTTATATATAGGTGGGTGGGCACAATGGGGATGCAATGGACTGGACAGAATTTTGTGAGAAATATTTCTTAGAGATTTTAGAGGAAAGATTCAAGAGAGATCCTAATGGGGTTCCAATCTTCAAAAGAACTGATTGGACACAAATGGATGAATAGATTTTTATGAAATTTGCTTTAAGATATGGCCCTGAGAAGGTGAAAACAAAATACCACCACTTTAAATCTGTTCATCTAAAGTTTAGTGAATTGATTAACCATACTGGAGTCACATGGGATGTTGTTTCTGGAAAAGTTTTTGCTAATGATACTGTGTGGGATGATTTTTTTTAAGGTATAAAATATCTTAAACCTAATAATTTTATTACTGTTTAACTTATTTTGCTAACTAATAAAGTATTTTTTGTGATAACCCAAAGTTATTCCGTTACATTACCCCGTTACCGTTAACGGAATATTCCACTGTATAAAAGTTCTGTTAATTAGAGGTCGTCAATTAAATAAATATTTCATTTATTCATGTCGTTAAGTCGTGATAAGAGAAATAAAAACTCATAATTCACATTTCCATTTAATTGGAAAAGTTAGTTTTTATTATTATGACTACTAAATCGGGTGCGATCAAAAGCCCCATTAAACGACAGTATCGGGTAGAATATCACTAAGCTCCAACTCCCACCCATATATATGGGGGAGTAAACTCCATTTGAGCCTTTTCCACCCTCTCTCTCTAGACTCGTTTTTGACCCGAATCCGCAACCAAACGCTTCCAAATCGTAAGTCCACTTACCCTAGCTTGTTCTAAACATTATGACTCGTGATTATAGCTTAAAATTCGACCATTTAAGCTGTTGAAAAGGATTTCACGGCCTAAGATCCTCCTTAGGCCGTAAACACCTTAATTGAGGCCAAAAAGACCCAAACTTGTCCCTAAAAGCTTGGAAATAAATTGAGGATTTAGCCTAGGAGTGTTTGCTCATTTAAAACAATCAATTTAGGGCATAAAAGAGAGTTTACGGCCAAAGCACATGCCAAGGCCGTAAACACCTCTAAACCTTGTCAAAATGCCCCAAACACACTCCCAAACCACCCTTAGGCTTAATACATGAATTAAGGGCTTGCTATTTCGGGTTTAGATCAATTAAACACAATGAAATGATGGGGTAAAAGGAGTTTACGGCCCAGACACGTGTCAAGGCCGTAGACACCTTCAAACATGCCAAAATATTGGTTTTTATTCCCCAAATGGCCTTATACTATTACTATAAAATGCTAGGAAGGTATTAAGGGCCTAAAACTTCACTTAACTCATGACATAGGAGTTCACGGCCGTGAACTCCCTTAGGGATGGTTCATGGGCCGTAAACTCCCTAATGAAGCCCTTAGAAGCCTTAAACCCACTCATGCCTTTTGGAATTGGACCTAGAAAAATTTCACTAACAAGATAGAGCCTTAAAACACACTAGAACCCCCTCACCATGAGTTTACGGCCGTAAACTCATGGTGAGTACTCTTTGGGCCGTAAACATAGCATTGAGAGTTTACTCTCGGATAGTAAACTCCATTCCTAAGCCATACACACCTGTAGACGCTACCCGGGACACCCCAAACACTTAACCAAAGTGTTTTCCGCTCCTTAGAGTGCGTATACTTGTTTAATTAATATTAAATATACTAATTGTATGTGAACATATGTTAAATAGGTCATTGAGTGTGTTCGAGTCTTTACGTGATACCGAACACCCAACCGGTACCTCCGTCGGATCTACTTACACCAGGTGAGTTCATACCCCTGAATGAACCTTTGTAATGTTTTTACATGTTTTATAGGGGGGGGGGGAATACAAGTTAAACATGCCAGTTATCATATCAATCACATGTGATTGATAACCCGCATGCACAAGATTTTACCACACTGTACACTGCTTTACCAAGTAGGATACTATAATGGTTTCAAAAAGGTTTTCATTTGTTTCAAAACTCTTACTTATACTATTTTATCTAAATTCATTTTAAACTGGTTTATAAAGGTTCCAAGGATTTATAAAGTTTTTCAAACTAATTTTACCAAAGAATACCAAATGTGATTTTCCCTGAGTATAAAGGTTTTTCCAAGGTTTTCATCGAAGTTCCCTTTTTCGACGTATACTTTTACTTGTTTGTTACTGCTGCTTCGCTTTACTTATTTAAACTCCTACTTGATAACACATTTCCTTCGTGATACGCTTATACCGGTTATTGTCTCTATATCGCTTATACTTGTAGCCACTTATACTTGATAGACGCTGTTACTTCACCAGTTGTTGTTTCCACTTCGTGATACACTTATACTTGGTACACTTATACTTCACGATTCGATTATCCCACACTGTACGCTTATACTTCACGACTCATTTATTCCACTGTACGCTTATACTTCACGACTCGGTTATTCCACTTTATGCTTATACTTCACTAGTCGGTTATTCCACACTGTACACTTATACTTCACGATATGATTCCACTTGATACACACGCAAGCGTAGTTAGATGTATGACTGTGCTTGTATAGATGCATATAAATAATGATTGAAGGACTTTGGAAGGCTTGTCCGCCCTATTTCCTTTTCTTCGTTGAGATGTCGTCTGGTGGGATCGGATGTCCATCCGAAGGTCGTTCGAATCATTAGTTATATATTATGTACACAAGCATAGACATATGGGTTTACTTTAGTCAGTTCAGTTATGAGTCTCTACCTCTAGTTCAGCACTTACATTAGAAACACACTACCCACTATTTGGAAGTCTTTACCCACTATTTGGGGTGCATCTTCAGGACACAACTTTCTCCGTCGTCTAGTTGGTAACCAGAGTCTCCTGTAGGGAGAGCGGACATTGTGTGTATAGATCTATACGGGATTGACACCCCCGCACCCTGACTGCTAGCTACAGTCCACGGTCCACCAAGCCAAGGGGTGACAAATGTCATATTTATAGACGCTTGTAGGGCGTCTGGAACTCTAGTCAGTATGGTTACGAGTATCCTAGGTTACCTTATAATTCATGGCCTTAAGGTAACGGTATTTCACTGGCAATTTACACTGTATGCTGGTAACTCATTTTCAGAGTCACACTGTTTTGACCTTGCAAGATGTATCTTTCATTTGATACTATCTGCGGTCTGTATTCTCTGTTTTGACCTTGCAAGATGTATCTTTCATTTGATACTGTCTGCGGTCTGTATTCTCTGTTTTGACCTTGCAAGATGTATCTTTCATTTGATACTGTCTGCGGTCTGTATTCACTGTTTTAGACCTTACCAGTTGTACCATTCATTTGGTACCTTCTGGGGTCTGTGTCTCCATTTGTTAGACGGAACCAGGCGTGTCGTTCGTTTGATACTCTCCTGGAGTCTATGATTCCTATGCCTTAGTCAGCAGTCCTCACTGCTGAGGCATAAGTTATTTCCCTGACTTCTCTTGCTTCCTTTAATAATCAAATTCAATATTTTGATAATGATAGCGATTAAGGGAAAACTACTTTTTACCACATAACTTTGTCCAATCTTGGTAGAAGGCTGCTTTTATTAAAGAAAATATAGGATTTTCTGGAAAGAACTCTAATACACTATAAACTCTTAAACTACTACATTATAAAGTTATTTAAATAAAATGTCACTAATTACTTATGAACTCACCAACATTTGTAAAAATGCTGATACTCGCTTTTTAAATAACTTGTATTCTCAGGTTAGCATTAGACAGGTACATCCCCGGAGCTGTTGATGAAGATAGCTTAGTACCATGCTGTTCTTATTACATTTGTCTGTATTACTTTGATACTCTGTTATGTAAACTATGTAAAACTATTACTATTAATGCAATGTTTTGTTGTACTTTGATTACTATAATGCATGTGTTGTGCTACTTGACATGACGTCATCCACCCCAGAACGTTTCCGCCGTTCCGGTTTTGGGGTGTGAAATTTTTATACCATATATTACAACAAGATAAAGTTTTCAAATCATTCAAGAAAAAAGATTGTAAGATTTATTCCTTATTGAGTTTGGTCTTCAATAGTTCGACTGCTTCTGGTGCTTTTCATAATGCCTCAACTTGTGCTCCTCAAACATCAGAAGAAGAGCACAGAATTGAGGATGAGTATCTAGAGGGTGGTAGTTTTGGTGAGAGTGAGTTTAATGGGGGTAGTCGGAAGGGAAAACATATGATGGAAGAGGAAATGGAGGGTTTACCAGGTACAAGAAGAATGAAAAAAGGTCCTGGAAATTCCAAATATTATACCTTGTTGGATGCATTTTTGGAATCAATAGTCGCTAGAAAGGAAAGAGATTTAGCAAGAGCAGAACATTATAAGTTAAAGTATGGTGATGTAACAAGCTCATTGACCGAGGAATACTCCATTAGTGATTGTATGATAACTTTAGAAGCTACACCTGGTGTTGGTGCAAGATCTTACACTAAAGCATTGTCCTTCTTTCCTGATATTAATTGAAGAAAAATGTTCCTAATGATGTCTGAGAATAGGAGGAAACAGTGGCTTGATAGTTTAGATGAGTAGTTGTTTTAGAATTTAGGGATGTCATATAAACATATTGCACTAGTTTAAGTTTTGATGTTTATGTATAAACTTGATGTCATTTTGTGGAACATTTTGATGATATGTATGGAACTTGTGATGGGTTTTGGTCATAAGACATCCTATGTGCTCATACAAACCCTAATGCTTGGATCTAGGTTTCTCTATTGTACATGCATTGAATCCAAGACTATAAACCCTAATTCTAGCATTCAAGTAATCATATTAATATGTAATTAGGTTTAAGATCATACCTTGATTGTTATGTAGCAATAACAATCCCAAATCTCCTTGTAATGACTTTGGAAGGCTTAGAGTCACAAGTGTCACTCCTCTAATGGTTTACAAACACCATAAGCAAATGGAGAAGGTATAAAGAGAGAGGTGAGAGGTTAGAATTCGTATCTAGGACCTCTTGGGAAGGGATACACGAATTCATGACCCTAGGGGTGTTTATATAGGTGTAGAGATAGGGTTTCAGTCATTATCCTTATCTAGTTGATTATCCATTAAGCAACCAATAAGATAATCCTTGAATCCTTATCATACTCGAATTCTAAGGCTTTCCAACCTTAAATTCGTCCACCATATAAATAAGATAATCCTTACCTTATTTTGTAACTATCACATAATTACAAATCAGCCCCTCTAGTTTAATTAATTACATTTGATCACAAAACTAATTCTTAATTAATTATTGACCAATATTAATTAAACAAATATGATTTCTCCTTTAATATATTATTCTTATAACATATTAATAAATCATATTATCCTCTCTCTCTTTATTCATTTCTCCAATCAAGTTGCTTTGGTGAAGGCAACCCAAAAGGACCATGCACCATCGGGTCAAGTACATACCAAAATAGTTATGGACTTAGACACTAATCCAACAGTCTCCCACTTGGATAAGTCTAACAACTATTCTGCGTATGACTTCAGATCCTGATCTGCAATCGTAGCTTTCCAAAGCCGCTGTCAACTCTGATCATATCAGATACGCGTGTCCTTAGATAAGGGATCATATATTCCTCCATTCTAGATATCGTATGAGATATGATTTCAAATCATTCTCTTTGTACTATATCTCGATTTCCGATTTATGACGACAGACTAATTGAACAAATCAAATTAGCCCTAGCCCGGCCGAGCATTTACGTATGTCATCACTAAACCATCGAGGGGCCCAAAGATATCGCTTTTATCCTACCTTGGATAAAAGGAACGGATAAACTTTGATACAATGCTTGCTTGCACTCACTAACCAAATCACACACAACAATATGTTTTATAACACCAAGTTACTAGTGCGTTTACATATTATCAATGTGCAACCGATTAGCAAGATACAACTCACACATCTCGGTTTCAAGAATATAAGATGTTATCGTCTCACTAATCACTCGAGATACAATTCATGGAGTGATCCAAGTGAGCGTGGGTTTAATCCAATGCTCAAATCATATTCATAAGCACTCATGAACGTTGCAGCAAACATTTGCTTATGTCTAATACTCTTTTAGACAATCCACACACCAATTCACGACAGTCTTCATTCATATCTACTTCCAACATATGAACGACTGTGGCCCGTTTGAATAATTCGATTATTCTTAATAAACTCAATTATTCTGGAAGTCAAAACATGCAAAGTGAAACACAAGAATAATACTAATCCCATATGGCCTCAAACCTTTGAGTATAAACAAAACACGTTTTATTTATCACCATATCGATTACTCATTATTTGTCGTTTCGGGTAATCAACTTCTTACTTGAATTCCAACACTTGTCCCATGCTCCTAGCATGCACACAATGTTTACCTATGGTTCTTACTTTTGTGAAATAGACAAATTGAACACATTTCCAATCATTCTCATTTTACAACTCCAAATCCATTTTCTTAAGTGTAAGAATATCAAATTCTTGTTACTTATAGAATATACTAGATTCTAACACTTTATGCAACGATCCTTTTGTAATGTCACTGCACCAAAGTCTCAAAGACTATTGCCAATGATATTACAAAGTCCTCTATCGGAGATTGTTACAAGACAATTCCTTAGATATGATGTCTCTCACTCAAAGTACATTCCTTTGAACATCCTTTTGCATAAAGGTTTCTAATCTAGTCATAGATTTTCAATATTTACTTCCCAATATGGACACGCTTCCATATTTTCCAACTAGAATCTTATCTATTCGTAATGATGTCGATATTGTCCATCCAATATGGAAACATTTCCATAATTTCCAATACTATACTTCCAACTACTCACAAGCGACCAATCTCGTCGAACTTGGATTGTCCTTTGATAGTTGTTTAATTATTTTAGTCAAACCAATTCTAGTCCCTTTTCCCTCTAAATCGCTAGACATTTGGAAAATTTTAGAATGGTCAAACATTAAAGCATTTGCAATCGATCCTATACCGAAGCGTATGGGACACGACGCACAATGTTTTATTTTCTATGTTCTCAAAATTCGAATTGTGAAGAGGAATGCCGTAATCATAATCGAAACTTTAAGAACACACTATGTACCTTTGACTAAATTTATTAACATTTCACAACCTAATCCTTTAGATTTGAAATGAAGCATAATATTCTCTCCCTTAATTATAGCAAAACAACCTTTCAACTCTTACAACTTTGCAAAGTATGACTCTTGTTTTCTATAATTAATATTGCCAACTATGCAATACTTGCCTTAATAATCATACAATCATAACATTTATGCTCCCACTATCATGATGATTATTATAAAACATAACACTTATGCTCCCACTAGCTTCGACATGTATTCATAAACATCTTAACTTTCAGAAAAACAATACTTATTGAATTTCTTAAGTTCATGTTTCTAATACTTAGTGCTTTGATAATCTTTTATCAAGACTTCTTGAACTTATACACTTTTGCCTTAGATAGTTCATATGTGTGTCTTAACAATTAAGACTAATTGCCAAACCTCACAATTCAAATTATGGAAAGGGATGCCGTAACCATGATCGAATTCGAGAATGCAATTTTACAATCACTATCTTTTAAAATCTTTCTTAGTGAAAGCATTTTCTCACAATCATTTTCATGAAGGAGGAAATCTTATGACACTTAGATTTAAACGGTGTATGTGTTCCTATCCATGTGAATTTGTTAAAAACCAAAGTTTACGACAAATTCAAACTCATATGGATCGAACTTTCTTAATCTTGATTTCTTGCCTTATGGTAGCACAGCTGCCCACCACGTCTTCCAAGTAGTTAAGTAGCTCACCTTTTCCTATCAATGTACTTTCCATTGATCAAGGTCCTTGCCTTTTATGCATTCAAATGAGAACTCATAGGACTCACATGCATAATTAACTCGATTGGATTGGCACAGAAACAAAATAATGTCTTCACGATAGGTTGTAAACCTCAACTCGTGTGCTAGTGATGATCGATAAGGTTTATTTGATTTGTTCTTGAAACTTTTCAAGACTATTAAGACTCCCACTGACTCCTTGACATATACGATTCTCTTATCAAAACATTTTTGACAAACAAATATTCAAGAGTTAGTGTAGCTTATATCAAAACAAAACACTTCATAATTTTGGTCTTAGTTGGTCTTTGTCTTATCCAAGACATCACAACTTTCCACAATTGATGAATGTTATAAACCTTCTTAATACTATTCACTCAATGTCACAATCTTGACTTTAAGACTTGTTTTGGAACGAAGTATGATTGACTTCTTGATTTGACCATTTCTTCAATCTTTGATTCCTCTTCTTGGACATACAATTGTACCAAGACTCATTAGAGGATCAATTGAGATATGGTTCTTAATCATTAAGACCTATCATAAAGCATAAAAGCTACTCTCCCTTCTTCTTAGAATGGAGAAACTCTTATCTTTCTGCCTACTTGATTCTTCTTATTCGTTTTGCTATTGATCTAAACCCTTTAATCAATTCAAAATTACACTTAATCTTGTAAGTGTAATCATATTTACTAAGCCTTTAGTAAATCATGACGAATATCTTTGTTACTCTTATGGTGAACTTGATCAACACACAACTTTGTGTACTCGATCTCCTAGTCCTTCACTTGACACTTTGTCAATGAATTAGTCTAATTTCCAAATACGAAATTTCTCATTCATCGTGCATCCACGTTGCATGATTCCAAGTTTCTGTCCAATTGAAACTTGGGCGATGAGAAACTCTCCCTATTTGGTAAATTCTTGACATTTCCATAAATAACATAACTAAGAATCATATCCATTCGTTGTAGAAATATGCAAACATCAATTTTCACATAACGATTTCATTGCAAGGAAGTAAACAAATAAATAAATAAGTCAAACAAAATTTATTTTATTTATAAAAGCAGCGGAAAAACATTTGTCCTTACAATGCAAAATCTATTGAAAACTATGTAAAAAGAAAATTTCTAACAACTCTATCATAACTATCTAAGCTCAAAATCCAATCTTCAAGTCCATGAGATCGAGATCCATCTCTTGTGATTAGATTCATCTTGCTCTCTTATCAAGCTTCCTTTCTTTTCACCGATCCTTCAAAACATTCAAATGCAATCTTATCACATCATGTATTAAGAATCAATGAATATGAACTTAATGGAGTTAGATAGTGGATTCTTACCTAAAGCGTAGTCATACTTTTGACTCTCCCATCTCTTAGATCTCTTAGGTAAAATAGGGCAACTTCGTCTCCAATGCCCCTTCTCTTGGCAATAAAAGCAAATTGACTCCTTTGGAACAACACATGGAACTACTTCAGATATCGACTTTCTCTTATGATCAAACTTTTCGATCATTGCATGTCTTTCATTGCCATTGTCTATATCCATAGAGGTCTTGAAGGCAGATTCACCAATCAACTTTGCTTTTCTATTGCGCCAAACCAT